ACAAGTGGGAACTAATTTGATGGCACCTAACAACAATGTGCCAGACATTATTCTCAGCACATTAAGACATGATGTCTGCCTTCTTGGATCTCACACTGAGTGGAGGAATTGGACGCTAAACAAATGTCGTTGTTAGCTGCTGTCAAGTTGGCCCCATGCACAACCAATGAAATGCTGCCTGGTCCTGCACCATTCCCATAATCAGTTGTGGATTGGATAGGGTTTTCAGAAGTAGACAACCAGGCCTTTCTTCCTAGTCCATCTTAGTCTGGATGCTGTGCTCAAACCTGTTCGGGATCATAACAACACGCAAGCCTCCACTTACAGAGAAGTGGTGGTTGCACATGAGGTGCACTGGCTGGGAATCAAACCCAGGTCTCACACTCAACCACCAGAGAGAGAATTCTACCACTCAACCACCAACGCCCCTAAACAATTACATAATTTAAATAGTCATAAGCGGTATGAAAGAAAAGCACACGGTGTTTGGAACTACAGCAGGGAGACTGGCCATTATTCCATCCCCTCAAAGAATCAACAGTGCAGCGGGCAAGAGAGATTGGCAAGCAGACATGTGTGGGATGGTGGGTTAAGCGCTATCCGAGAGGTAAGCAAGGGTGATGTGAATGTACATGGGTTGGGTCTTCTCAACTGAAGGTGGTCAGGGAGGGCTTCCCAGAAGTAGCGTCGGTGGTTAGCCAGGAAAAGCAGAGTTGTTGGCCACAGGATGGGAGGAAAGGCATTGCAGGCAGGAGATCAGCAAGTGCAAAGGCTCATAGCTATCTATGCAAGAGGGGTCAAGTTTAAGCAATTGCAGGATGTTGAGCGTGACCAGAGCACAGAGCAAGAGATGGAAAGTGATGGGAGGCGGAACCAGCGAAAGAGGCAGGGCCGGCTCATGGAGGGCCTTTGTGCCTCACGGAGGGGCCTCAACTTTTGCTTGGGTAGCAGGGTACAAAAAGGGGATTCAGCAGGGACAACATCGTCAGTCTTGGGCACAGCAGAGCAGCCAGGCCCCAGGTACAGCACCAGACAGACAGAGACCCAAATTCCGGCTCTGCCCTGACAAGCAGGGGCCTTGGGAAGCTTCCTCCCTACCCTCTGGTTCCTTCCTCTCCTCTGTGAAATGGGGACAGTAGAAGTGCTTACGTCTTTGGGTGGTTA